TGAGAGATCATGTAAAATTCATTATGAATTGTGGTGGCTACGTCTCTGTACAGCGGATCTGTGGTGCTTCCTGTGGAGATATGTTTCATATTCTGCACTTAGCACCTTTACTGAAGAAACTTGTCGGATTTGCAGATAAAGATAAATGCGTAATATTATGCGCCCAAACACATACGTACGAGGGACAGACACCCGCTTCATTATCACGAGGTCTCCCTCAAAGTATGTACGTATACTCGGATATATGCGAAACCTATATAACCGGTGATGTACACACCCCGCTAATGCGTATTGTACCATTAGATATTGATAATTATAAATACGGGGGAATGAAAATCAAGGTATTTTCACCACCACTTTATATACAATTAGTACTTACGAAATTTCAAACGATCGAGATAGATATAAGAGATGAGTATGGAGCACCGATACCATTCGAACACGGAACGTTGACTGTGACACTTAATTTCAAACGCACTGAATAATCACGGATTATGAACACCTACATTTTCGACGAGATTCTACAATCAGGGGGAGGATACAGTACAAGTGACCATGGGGGTATAAGTCGTGTGTACATAGGTAGTGCTAATCAAAAAGGACATGGCATTGGTAGTTTCCTAGGTGGTTTGTTCAGAAGAATACTAGCACTACTCAAGCAAGGACCATTCGCTGTCAGAAGAGAGGCTTTGCGTTCAGGTGTGAATGTCATAGGCGATGTTCTCGAACGTGATATACCTCTGAAAGACTCACTACGAAGTCGTGCACGGAAATCAGGCGTCAATTTGAATAGGCGGGCAGAGGAGAAACTTGATACTTTGATGACTGGTTCTGGATATAACGGCTGGAGTATGTTATCATATCCTCATTCTACGATCAACCGTACTCCGCGACAGTCTAAACGCCGCAGGTTAACATCTGGGGGAGCCAAGAAAAAGAAGAAACCGCGAGTGTCGAAAAAACGCAAGAGGAAAAATACGAAGAAGTCTATAAAAATTAGAGGTCGTAAGAAGAAGAAATCACCCAAATTACGAACAGTGGCAGATATTTTCGCTTGAAACATGGCGTTCTTGCATACTCATTCATGTGAGGGTGTGAAAAGTGAACTGGACTTATTTTCTTTACCTCCAACGCAGACAGCCATCGAGTCCTCATACGATGTACACTACAAGCCAATAGCATCACTTGTGGATAACTCACCCATCGAGTTCGATATACCAGGACAAGGTGATGAGTACATTGACTTAGCTCATACACGGTTATTTTTACGTGTTACGATACCAACATTAGTGACAGAGAAGAACCCTGTACCTTCGGCTACTATCGGCCCCATCAACAACTTATTACACTCGTTATTCGATCAAGTGGATATTTCCTTCAATCAGAAAGCCGTGACGCCTGCCAATAACGCATATGCTTACCGCGCTTATATAGAAACCCTTCTAAATTATGGCGCCGATGCGAAGAACTCGCACCTGAGTAGTGTGTTGTGGTCAGATGATACAGCTGGTAAGATGGATGACGTCGGTGAAGGTAACAAGGGTTTAAGGGTACGTAGGGCTTATTTAAGCGATGGGAAAACAATCGATCTCACGGGCCATTTACATTGTGATGTGTTCAATCAGGATCGAGCATTGTTAAATGGTGTAAATATTCATATCCGATTGGTTCGTTCAAGAGACAATTTTTGTTTAATGGATAGCACAAATAGTCCATTCACCATTAAAATAACAGAAGCTTCGTTGATCATCCGGAGAATGAAGGTGAGTCCTGGATTATTATTATCCCACCAAAGGGCCTTATCGAAAACAACAGCCAAATACCCTGTTACAAGAGTTGAAGTCAAAAGTGTCTCAATACCATCTGGTGTTCGTGGTCATTCCATAGATAACTTTATAACAGGACAGCTGCCAAAACGCATCATTTTTGGATTTGTCAAGAATCGTGCATTCGTGGGTGATAAAAAATTGAACCCCTTTAACTTTCAACATTTTACTCTGAATCATATATCCTTATATGTGGACGGGCGTCAGATACCATCGAAACCTCTACAGCCAGAGTTTACTGTGAATAATTTATATGTGGAGTCGTACCATTCCATCTTCTCAGGCACTGGTATACATTTTCTGAACGATGGTAATGGTGTTCACCGTGGAGATTACCCTCATGGGTATTGTCTCTTCGCATTCGATTTAACACCAGATTTGTCAGCTAATGATAACTCACACTGGAATTTGATACGAAGCGGTAACATGCGCATCGAGGTACGATTTGATGAAAGCTTAGTTTCAACGATCAACGCTGTAATTTATGCTGAGTTTGAAAGTGTCATAGAAATTGACTCAGCGAGACAAGTGACCCTGGACTATGCATAATCATCAAAATATTCGGTATCATGCTCAGCGCATGCGCAGTTATTTTTGCAGTATCAGCAGTTTTCTGAAACAACGGATTTGAATCGCTGTTCAACTGTACAGTTGTGTATGAATATTCAACGTAGAAGGTTGAAAGGAGAGCATAGCAATGGCCTACAGTAATTCAGATTCTGCGGCAATTATTCATTACGAGGGTTTCATCGGAATCTACGGTACATTCGTTCCAAAAGAAATGGCGGTGACCTCCACATCCTTCGACATGATAGGACATTGGGTAATTTGTCCTGAATACCAGTATTCTGCGATTCCACCTAATATTCAGAGGATGAACAATCAACTTACAATCACACGTCACGGTATAGATTGGTATGAAGGAGAAGCATCTTCTAAATATGTCTATGCAGTATTACGAGCCGTTACCAAAGGAATAAAATACGTGTATACCTATGGTTGTGAGCAAACGAAATTCACTGCTGCCCTTCTTACCCGAGATGTTATCAATTTGAAGGGCCATATCAGATCGCCACTATTCGCTTGTACACCAGTAGCTGTTCCATCATGCCTCATATATAGTACATTGAATCACAGAACCTTTATATGTGCTATGCGCTAAGTCCTTCAAATCAAACGACTCGAACCAACTGTCACTGTCAACTGTTGGTTGACTTCGAACGAGGAAGGATTAAAAAGTTTATTCAAAGAGAAATTTCCTGCTGATGAACACAGTACAGATTCTAGAAGCCCTACAGTATATACCGAATTATACAGCCGGTGTATATCCAGCGGACAAGATCCCATCGGCGTGGACGAAACCGACTGCAATAGTAGCGAACACACATGACCACACCCAACCGGGAGAACACTGGATCGCCATGTACGTTGATCGAAATGGTAGAGGATGGTACTTCGACAGCTTCGGACTACCTCCCATCGTGCCCCAGCACGCTGCAAGACTCCGAAAGAACTGTAAACTCTTCAGGTGCAGCATCCGGCAGCTCCAGCATCATGACTCGAGTGTATGTGGACAATACTGTGTACTTTTTCTGCATTGTATGGCTATGTTTGCTACTCCTGAGAAGTTCTATTCGTTATTCACCGATCGATTCATATCTAATGATCGTCTAGTGCGTGAATATCATAATGCATTTATGAAGAAAAAACGTAATAGTGCCCCCGAAGGGAAGTTATTTAGTGGCCGCGGTTATAATTGTACGTCGTGGAATCAAAAATGTAAGTAATTTATAAGAAAAATATGTAATTCATGGGGACATTATTTTTGGGAAAATATACATGTAATTACTGACTGAAATTCTGTGTTTTTATTTCCCTGTATGATAGCTGCTATGGCGCACCCACAGCATTCACAGTCACTCCCACCCCACGACTCGCCCGCGTCGGAGTCGTGCTACTCTGACCGGTGCAGTGGTGGGGTCGGAGTGACTGTGGGTGGGGGGCGCCATAGTAGTTCCCATACTACTGACAATTTTCGAATTTTTGGACAGCGTCAAATTTTCGGATTAACCCGTGCTCGTGATGAGAACAATATATTAAAATGAAAACGGTCAGGCAAGTGGCCAGACCTTTTATCAGTCGGGACTAAAGTCTTCATCACCCACAATAAATAAAAGTGTACCCTTGAGTTTTTGACAAACAAATTTGTTTTTAAAAATATTTTTTAATGAAAAACTAACATTTCTGGATTCCTTAAATTAGAACGATTCTGACAAAGCGTGATAGAAATGTCTAAAGTGAAGTGTTCTCATTGTAATCTCTATTAAATGTTAAAAAACAAATTCAAATGGTAATTTCAAGTGTGATCTAGTTTCCATCGAGTTTTGTCAAAGTTTGGCAGTCTCACTGATTAATGATGATAGCACGATACTGTTAGGTAGGAATGTCCAATGCACGCTATACGGATAGAGATTGTCTTTCGGCGCACAATTGCTCCGTGCAAAAAGATCCAAGTTTTGACTCGAAGTTCGTAAAAATTTGTGTAGGAAACAATAATTGGAATGAAATTGCCATCAAACATCATGAAACGTAATTTTTACATTTTTTCCATGGTACTTTTTGAAACAGTTGTTTCTTCTCGTCTTAGCTAATTTATTTTTAAACTTGAGAATCTGTTAAATCGACAATTTATTTTTCCGTTCCACTAAAATTTAATATTTAAAAAATTGCGATTTCGAATAGCAGGAAATGCATTGGAAAGGGATAGAGATCAATATTTCATAGAGTGAATAAATGGAGATGCTCACTGCAGGGAACCAACTTCTTCGCCATCTGACCTACGACCGCAGTAAAATAATTTAATTTTTCACCAAAGATTGTGGCTCCGAACTGCCAATAGGTCAGGCATTCTTTTGAAACTTTGAAACGCGTGTACCGTGCTGAAAAACATTTCAAAAAATCTGAAGATAATTACATCACCCCATTATTTAATTTTCCATTAGATGATTGCATTTGTAGAATTGGAATTTGGTTCCCGTTGGTCTAGCTATTGATGGTGAATGATTTTATTAATACAATCAATTTGGAATAGTTATGATTCGAAATAAATTCTCATTATTTATTAGATCAATCATTGTTTCAGATACACATCTTAAGATAATTTTCTCTGGCCGTAAAAACGCCTATCAAAATATTTTGAAAATATTTCAAACTGTCTTCACTTAAGATTCCCGTTCTTACATTGTTTTTAACCACTATGTTATATTATTACTACAAGATATAGATACCTTGATGTTGGTTTACTGGCATGTCCCACAGTGTCACACCCCAATAAATGAAAGAATAAGATCACTCCACTTTGATTTCTTACGGTTTTCGCCTCGTTCTTAAGCCAACTGCTATATTTCTTGAAAACCCACTCGTCTAACCGTCTCGGGGAGTTCGATTCTTTATCAAAATCTTGCCAGTCGTGAGGATAAGTTGCTCCATGAACATTTCCATGACTACCTAAACATACAAAGTGAATTGTCAAACATCGAGATACGCGATAGCGTATCGGCCAAGAAAAGTTTTGACCGACTGAGCAAACATCAGGCCGAACGCACCGCGTATCTATACACGAAGCAACTACCCCCTCCACTACCACCGAAACACATTTATTGAATAAAATGAAAACGTGATACCCTACGAAAAAATAGCCTTTGTTACATCACATAAATCGGCCACGAGCTTTCCAGTGATATCACTATTTTCTTTTTCAACTTAGTATTAAGGAAATTACGCGCATAGCAATGGGATCATATCCACATTCTCGCATTTCACATTATCTCTGAGCAGTGTGAGATTTCGTTTTCGAAGTTGGTAGTAGTGCGCTCCAACCTCACGCGCAGAGGAGGGAGATTTGAATAGCGCATTACTCTTTCTCTCTCCTTCTTGAATTCTACTGATTTGCATTTTTTAGACTCATCATCGATTTATTGTAAAAATTAATGAAAAATTGATGAACAAGGTCATATAGCGCTGTATATTGCATAGAAATTTTTCCCCTATCCTCGATTAATTTAGATTTTCAACTCAGTCCGTGAATAACAAGTGGGCGAGTTCATTTCTAAGGTTATTTTACGCGGGTAATTTGCACGTTCGATTTTCTCATGAAATTCTCCAATCGAATCGGAGCATGAATTATAAATAAATGTAGGAAAGAAATACCTTTTTTTCTTAGAGCAGCAGTGATTGAAAATTGTTTCTGTTGCGCGGAAAAAATCAATTCGATTCATACGAAAATGATCGTGTGCTCGTTTCGGAAAAATGACTGAAATCTCCCAAAAAAACAAAAACAAATGTTTTTGCAAAAAAGCTGCGCCAAGAAAAAGTTTTGTGGGGTCGTTTCGGGAAAGAAGAAACATTTTTTTCTGGAAACCACAATTCCCATAAAAATTTTGCAAAAAATAAACAAATAAAAATCAAAGGCAAGTCAAGAAATGTCCAATGGATCATGGAATGTGCTATCAGATTATTATGGGGAGGATAACTCTGAATAGAAGGATTTTCAAAAAAATCTTCACAAAATAAAAACTTCACCAGAGACAGGATTGAAAGTTCTTGGCGCGGATCAGAAGATACAGATTGATACGAGACAATGAGTTGGAAAATTCCGCGCCAAGAACTTTGAATCCTGTCTCTACTGAATTTTTTATTTTATGAAGATTTTTTTTAAAATCCTTCTATTCAGAGTTATCCTCCCCATAATAATCTGATAGCACATTCCATGATCCATTGGACATTTCTTGAATTGGCTTTGATTTGTATTTGTTTATTTTTTGCATAATTCCTATGGGAATTGTGGTTTCCAGAAAAAATGTTTCTTCTTTCCAGAAACGACCCCACAAAACTTTTTCTTGGCGCAGTTTTTTTGCAAAAATTTTGATTACATGTCTAACTAACATATGCAAATGTTAGTATTTACGCAGTTTGCTTGATAATGCATTTATAGAAAGGCGACTCAAATCAAGGGCCTGATTAAAAAAAGTTATAGAACGATTGATAGAATTAGCATGGATAACAAGAGAGTAGTTATGTCATTAAGTCGATTTGATGTTACAAGAAGGAGTAACGGAGGTGATCTTTGTGCCCCTGCGGCCCCCTGGGACCTTTAGGGTCATAAGGGGCATAAGGGTTACAAAGAACAGGTTACAAAGAAGGTTGCGAGGGTCAAGAGGGTCAAACTCCCTTACTTGATTATATGATTATAAATTGAAAAAAAAAAGGTGAATAGCATATAGATCGAATAATCTATTTAAGAGAGTATGAATTCTGAATGAAAAGAAAATATGAAGAAAGAAAAATTGATTACATTCCATCGGATGTTTTCTTAGCCGCTCCAAAAATTGTATGAATGGATTTCAGTCGAGTCGTTAAGGGGTGAGTGCTAAATTCTCCGATGGCCAAAATCTCCGGTGGCCAAAATCTCCAAAAAGAAATCATTTCCCCGAGAATGTATAACTAGCGCTGCCGGTGAGCAGAGCCGATACTGGAGCTCGAGTTTATTCAATTTTCAGGGACAAGTAAAGGAAAGAGAGAGCCCCACGCTTAAACTTTTTTATATTTGTTTAAATAACTTTTTGTTGTCGTCATATCAACTTCGGGTTCTGAATGGGTTCAGTAGACAGGGGGCGGGGGAGAAGTGGAATTCGAATTGGGGAACAGAAATAAAGATGGAAATTATTATTATTATTATTTTTTTACTCTTTTCTGTGGGTTATTAGGCCTAGCACCTACTTACTCGTGTATTTACAGACACTCCTCATCTTGACAACCTGCGTCCCAATCATTTATTTTTTATATGTGTTTAAATAACTTTTTTTTCGTCGTATAATTCTGATTTTGAATGGGTTTCGCGGGGAAGGGGGGGGGGGTTGAAGTGCCAGTGGCAAATTGAAATCTAAATGGAAATTGTTATCATTTTTTTTTTAATTCACTTTTTTGGGGGTTTATTAGTCCCAACACGGAAATAAAATTATATTAGTATTATCTACTTATCGACGGATCTGCATATGCACTACCCCCGCCCTTCTCGAGGAGACGTTTTCCGGTTTCTTTTGTCCTTTGATAGGCATTTTATCGATTAATTCAACAAAAATATCTACGTATCTATATGGCTCTCTCGTCAATTGAATCATTTCTCAAAAAATAAAAATAAAATAATCATTGTTTTATATCTTTGTCATTTTTTGTGCGATTAATCAGGCCTGTCATCCATCTCCCTCCTCATCGATGGATACACTTCTCCTTTCTGCCCGCTCGCATAATTTCTCAAGATAAGAACATAAGTGGAGTTTCATTTTTTTTCCCTCTGTTTTTCGTTTTTTCAATTGCATACATTAGACTTGTTCGGCTTCGAAAGAAACCTTTCGAGATTTACCGTATTTATTTTCCGCTGGAACGTTTATAACTTATTCGATCAATTTTTTTTTTCGGAAATTCCGTAAGTTTTTGGTAGAAAATCTTCAACTAAGATTGATTTGTCAACTGACATTGACCTTGTGTTCTTCAATCGAGTGAATATATCGTTCATGGGATAAGTGTAAATATATTTTTTTATATCTGTTAATTAATATGTATAATTGATAAAAACATGTAATCCATTAATGTTAATGCCTCCATAAAAAAATCAAAAACTCAGAAACCAATTTGATAGCACACATCGAAATGTGGCCATTATATTTCAGAAGAGAAAGATCGAGAGAGAAAGGGAATGACGAGAATCAGAATGAGATGAATTTTTATGAATATCTCGAAATCTAACAGAAGTAGCAAAATTTTGACAATAACCTTTACTGTCAATTCCTACTAATTCCATTTCAAGAAAAGGAAAATAAAATTCCATTGAATTTTCTACAGGAAAATATTTAACTCTGAAAAAAACATTTATACTGTGACCGTTTTCTAGATTCTATTAGACTAATTCCTGAAAAGAGGATTAGGGCGAGTCAAGAAAAGGCACAAATAAGGGATAAATTGAGAATAATTACCTATATTTTCTCTAAATACAATTCTGATCGTCAAAAGACGTAAATAAGGCCTTTAATGAGATCTAGGGAGTGGGGGAGGCCAGGTAACTTTTGTACACGTAAAAAGGGAGTGACTCTAATGCAGGAAAAAGGGGAGAAGCTAGTCGTGTCGAGGGAATGCAACTAAATATAAAAATAATAACTGAAGGGGAAGAAACAAAAGAGTGTAGGTTCACCGTTGGGGGGTAATATCGAGGGAAAAGGGAATACTTCTGGGGAAATAGGCAAGGTAACTTGTACTCATGACTACGTGGGTATAGCGTGGGTTTTCGGATATGCACGACTTCCAATCTTTCCGGGCAAATCCAGCCAATAGAGAGCCTTCCTTCCAATTCCAGCTTCAGGGGTTTTGGTCCAAAACAAATCGGAAGATGACCCAAACACTTCCAAAATTCCTCTTAACTGTTTTCTGTCTTCAAGGGCTCAAGAATGGGACACTCAAAAATACACATGGTTACACACGAGACTGCTGTGTAGCGAGTGAGTCTTTCTCCTCACTTCTCATTCTTTCTTTCCATAATTCGGATTTCTCCGTTTCCGCCTTTCGAGCAATCTTGTCGAAGCTCTTCATGGGGGGGCCGAGGTGCTAGGTCAGAAGCGTGTGAATGGGGGCCATCGAGGGTGTAGATATTTTCAAGGGGAAGCATCGTAAATTCTTCCAGGGGCGCGGATCCTGTCGTGCAAATAAGTGATTCGGCGGTGATGCGATGTTCCGAGGGTCTTCGTCTCTGCTTCCAGGGGAGGGGCGGAAAGGGCCATGAGGGGGAGTACTTAGCGGATGCGGGTGTCCAACGGTGGCGGGAGTTTTAGGAGGGCAGAGTGTGGTGGGGAAAAGAGTGACGTAAACATAATAAAAAATAAATAAATGTGCCTCGTCACAGCTGTCCCGGGGGTAGAGAACACATAGGGTTTCCACAACCCTATGTTGAACGATATCCAAACTTTCATGATACCCGACTGCTCCAGGAAAGGTGAGACTGGAATGAAGGCTCAGACATTATTCATTAACTTAAATGTATTTTCTAATCATGTACAGGGTACATTACCACATTTGCCCATTGTTTATCATACCGTTTTGGTTTCATGATAACGCGGGCAAAACTCGCTCTAAATGGACTCAAAATAATCCTCCAAAATAACTATTATTAAAAAAAAACAAAATAACTCAGAAAATCCTATTCCATGGCCTTTTGGGTAACAAAAGGAAAGAAAATTACACTAATCGTCTTCGGAAGAACGAGGGGATATCTTGGGCTAGTGAGGGTGTCAGAGGGGTCAACTCTAGGGGATTAGGGCTATTTTGAGGGTAACCAGGGGGTCAATGAATGAGAACAAGGGGTATCGGGATCAGGGACAACTAGGGTGAAGGGAGATGGGAGTTGTGGGGATTCACCTGACTTCATCGCCGGGGGGGATGATTCGATTTTTGGGGCTCCT